CCTTCCTTCCGAGGAGTGGCTGGTGGGTTTGAACCGCCAGCCTTCTGGTTAGCAGTCAAGTGCCTTAGCCACTATGCTACCAGAGCTCCCACAACAACAACCCACAACAACCCTTAAGGTAGGTGAAAATGAGAAAACTGAGGCCCAGGTGAAATAATAAGTTCAATGGCACACAGATAAAACTAGGAGAGCTGGGATATGAACTTAAACAGTTTTGCTCAGTGTCCATGCTTTTAAAAACTAAGATAAAATGATTCTCTAAAACTGCACTGTCTAATATAGTAGCCACTAGTCACATGTGCCTATTTAAACTTAAATTAACTGAAGTGAAATAAAATTTGAAATTCAGTTCCTCAGTCATACTAGCCACATTTCAAGTTCTCAATACCACATTTTCTAGTTAGTTTTCCAATACAACTGGCTGTTGTATTGGACTGCAAAGATGTAAAATATTTCCATCATCACAGAAAGTTCTACTAGACAGCACTGCTCTTAGAAGATTGTCAGAAAGAAAGAAGCCACACTTATTTGCTTGGAAACACAGGCAATTTAATGGACTTTGTGGACTTCTATAACATAAAACCTTCAAATACAATTTTGTGACTCTTGTACTCTTAGATAGCAAACTTGTTCATTCATTCACCCATTCATTCAACACAGTCTTACTAAGCACCAACTATGTTATCTTCAGGGCCCAGCACAAAATAAATGTTTCTAGGCTGGGCATGGTGAGGAGGATAGAGTTTAAGTAAGTTGAATTGAACAAAATGACAATGGAGAACATAGGGTCATATGTTCCCACACAGCTAGGATTACCCCCAACTTCTTCACCAAGGATATCTCCAGAGACCTCTGCCTACAGAAACTCTCCCCAGTTCCCCAGGCATGTCGCCAATCCCTATGAGGAAGGTCCTCACTGCTTCTTATGGAACAGGGCTGGGGCTGGCTCTTTGCTGGGTTCGGCCATGACCTGCATGGGCTGGTTGTTTAGGGCAGCCTCACGCATCTTGTAGTACATGAACTCATTCTGACGGAACATGCGCAGCTCCATCTCCGTCTGCACACGCATGGCCTATGGGACACAGATACACCATAAATGTTAGTGACAAGCTCCCAAGACATGTTGGTCTTTGACTTACCTTGGCCCTTTTGAAAAGTACAGACAATGGGGTGACTGACTCCCAGTCTCTGAAATTCAATTCAACTCTCCACCCTCAAAGGACACACACAAATGCATAAACACACATACATACACACAAACACACACACACACATCCATTGTGTGTTTGTAAGGGGAAGTCAGGCCCCTGGGAGGTAGTTTGAAGGATTGTTCTCATCAGAGAATATGTGTACTCAGAAACTGTCGAGTGGAAACCTGGATATGAACCCTGGTTCCCACATATTTTGTTTGTTGGCCTTAGTAAATGACTTAACTGCTTCAGCTCTCAGTGTTCTCATCTATGGAATGGATGAGATTCCTCCATAACTTACAGAGGTTGTGAAGGCTACAATGAGTAACACATGGAAAGCCCTTGTTCTCTTATGTCCATTCCACAAATAATTATCAAGGGCAACAAATACTTATCAAGGGCCACAAATATCATTCAAGGGGTTGGGAAAATGGCAGTGAACATGATAGACAAAGTCTTTGCCTTGGATAAGCTTAATATACTAGATATACTTAGTCTTCTCCACTTTTCTGCTCCTCACTTGGTACTCACATCAATTTTGAGGGGCTAGTATATTAATCCCACTTTATAGGTGAGGAAACTGAGGATCAGAAAACTAAATGGCCATAGAGATGTAAAAGGACATAAGAGAAGTAAAAAGTCACACAAGTCCTAAGTGGCAGAGCCATTTTGCATTACATTTTCTAACACCAAACCTGTCCTCTTTCCCTATACTACAGTGTCTGAGGACATTCTTATCACTCAAATAACCAGCCCCTCAAAGCCCAAAGGAAACCAGCAGTTATTGAGACCACACCATTTGCCATGCACTGTCCCAAGAACTTTAGAACATTAATTCATTGAACCCTCATCCCAACACTATGAGCTTAGAACCCAATTTATTGAGAAGGAGTCTAAGGCTCATATCATCCAATATTTGCAAAGCCACACAGCTAGAAAGTGGTGAAGCTGGAAGTCAATTCGGGTGATCTGATCCTACAGCCAGTGTTCCCAACTCTATTCTGTAGTCTAGAATATTTTCTAACATAAATGGTTGCACACAACATACACTCACACACGCCACTGTTTAGATTTTCTCAGTCCAGTCTTGAGGCATATTTGTACAATAGGCTCAAGGTTCAAATTTCAGCTTTGTCATCAACCCACTATATGACTATGGACAAATTACTGTCCTTCCCTGGGGCTCAGTTTCTTCATATGTTTTTAAAAAAAGTGAGTTAACACATTTCTAAGTTCCCTTTTTGTCTGACTGACAATCTATGAGCTTTCCTAGAGTCCATCTGAAATCAAACTCTTATCCTCAGACAGCACAGACCAGGTAGTGAGAGCTTAGATGCTACTTGCCTCTAAGTCCTTGGTGATTGGGTGGGAGGGCCCGTGTGTCACCAGAAGAATGGCATAGGCTTTGCATATCATCCCATGCCCTACCTCAATGTTACCAGCATGCCAATTGGTCAGACCTGCTCGCATCACGGCCATGCCCAGCTGGGCATTGTTGTGGTGGTAGAGCTTCCTGTAGGGACATAACACATAAACACACTGCACTATCCCAGCTTCCCATATGTCTGCATAGCATTTAACAGTTTATAAAGGTCCTTGTGAAGTCCACTTGCTCTTCCCATCAGCCCTGCAAGGCAGCTGCATCCTGGCAGTGGAAGCTCTACTTCTTTAGATAGACTATAGCAAATGAAAGGATTTTCCATGTTGATTGCTAAGGAGGAAAACCCTTTCAAAATACTTAAAATCAAGCTGAACTTAGCCTTAAGGCAATTAAGATGTTACTGAGGTGATAAAGGAGCTACAGGATCTGGGAAAGACCAAGGATAACAACTAGGTTTCATCTCGGGTACCAACTCTGATTGTTTGGTCATTGCTACTTGGAGTATCATGATAAAATGCTTACTGGTAAAGAGAACCATGATCAATTAGTGAAGTCTGCTATGTGTGTAAGGAGTGGTGGCAACATATGTGCCATCTGGTTGCCATCCCTGAAATAGACCCACTTTCATGAGACTGTCTGAGACCCAGAATCGTCACCTACATGTAGCCATCCACCATCCTCTTGGCATAGTCTGCAGCTTCCCCAAAGGCCTGGAGGTAAGAAAGGACCTCTGAAACAATGCCCAGTATCCGCAGCTTGTAGAGGTTGGTGTCTGCAAACACTGGCTCCTGTTTCTGCAGGCACTCCCGGCATAATTTCACCACCTAGAATGAAAAACAGGTTCTGTCCACTATCAGTGCCCCAGAACACATACTTAATTCATGTATCAGCATGTCATTACATTGAATACCATCCTTTCAGGGTGGGGGAAATTGCTGGAAGAGGTGGGAAAGCATAGGATGTGACTTGAATTTAAAAATGGTCCTGTTTGGTTACAAAATAGGAACAGGAAGGAGAAAAGTGAGAGATATGGCTGACTTGGCAGAGTAAGGAGTTTTCACATAATTCAGTAGGAGCAGGGAGCTATGAAATACATATAATGCCCATTGTCATTGAGGCGATTCCAACTCATAGTGACCCTGTAGGACAGGATAAAACTATCCTATACGGTTTTCAAGGCTATAAATCTTTATAGAAGCAGACTGCTACATTTCTCCCAAGTGGCTAGTGAGTTCAAACCACTGACCTTTCTCTTAGCAGCTAAGCACTTAACCACTATGCCTGTGTGTGTGTGTATGTGTGTGTAATACTTCTTTGTTGCACTGTTGTGAGAGTTGTTTACTCTCACAACAATGCAACAAGGTTAGTATTACTAACCTCCCCATTTTACCAGATGAAGAAACTGAAGCACAGAGAGGGTAAGTACTTTGCCAAAGTCACACAGGTAGTGAGTGAGCAATAGGGTGAGGACTCAAACCAAACAGTTGACCTCCTTAGCCTGTGTTCTTAACCAACATATGAGTGATTTGCAAACCTGGCTGTATATTGAAATCAGCTGGAGAGCTTTTAAAAACACTGATATCTGGGCTCAACCCCAGACCAATTGAAACCAAATATCTGGGGGAGAAACCCTGGCATCCATAGTTTGTAAGCCTCTGGGTGGTTCTCATGTACATTGAGGTTGGACTATCTGCCCTGCTGGAGATGTATAAGATGTTTCAGCAGAAAGAGAAGCTCACAGAAGGCTGGTAGACCCATAAGGAGGCAGCTACATTGGCTCTGGTAAGAAATAAGATGGGCCTGACCCCATTCATCTTGGAATCAGGCTGTCCAGACTGATTCTTGTGTGGACTTAGGCTTAGGTTACATCCTACCAAGTCAGATGGTCTCTACATTTTTTTTTTTTTCCTAGAACTCTGAGCCCCCAAATGGACTCTTTTTTTTTTTTTTAATTAATTTATTTATTTTATTTGGGTAAAGATTTACAGAGCAAATTCACTTTCCATACAGCAGTTCACATATACTTTTTCTCATGTCATTGAGACCTTTTGCTTATTTTATTTGGGTAAAGATTTACAGAGCAAATTCACTTTTCATACAGCGGTTCACATATACTTTTTCTCATGTCATTGAGACCTTTTGCTTTCTTCATGGATGATTTTCTTGATGTCATCCCACAATTCCTCTTGTTTTTGGTCATTGGTGTTCAGTGTATCAAGTCTATTATTTAGTCGGTCTCTAAATTCAGGAGGGATATAATCAAGGTCATATTTTGGCTCTCGTGAACTTGTTTTTACTGTCTTCAGCTTCAACTTGAACTTGCATATGAGCAGTTGATGGTCTGTTCCACAGTCAGCTTCTTGCCTTGTTTTGGCTGAAGATATTGAGCTTCTCTTTGCCTCTTGCCACAGATGTAGTCAATCTGATTCCTGTGTAGTCTGTCTGGTGAAGTCCACATGTATAGCCACCATTTATGCTGTTG